GAAGACTCATTTGCTTCTGTTAGACGATCAGCTATTGATTCTTTGGGGAAGCTCCCGCCTGATGAATTGGCTGCGGCTAAGTGTTCCTCAGTTCTGCTGAAGATGCTGGAAGACTCAGATGAAATGGTTCGAACAAAAGCTTTGGAAGCTTTGGGCAAGCTCCCGGCTAGTGAATTGGCCAAGTGTTCTTCGGATTTGCTCAAGATGCGACAAGACTCCTTTGCTTCTGTTAGACGATCGGCTGCTGATTCTTTCGGCAAGCTCCCTCCTGATGAATTGGCCAAGTGTTCTTCAGATTTGCTGAAGATGCTGGAAGACTCAGATGAAATGGTTCGCTTTTACGCTTTGGAAGCTTTGGGGAAGCTCCCTCTTGAAGAATTGGCCAAGTGTTCCTTATACCTGCTCAAGATGCTGGAAGACGCAGATGACATGGTTCAAAAATGCGCTTTGGAAGCTTTGGGCAAGCTCCCTCCTGAAGAATTAGCTAAGTGTTCCTCAGATCAGATCCAGTCCGAAGTAACGATGCAAAGTTCAGATGGTTCTGATCCCGCAGAGCATCGTGGAATTTCAGTTTTAGATCAACTCTCTCGTTATGCCTTGCCTGAAAACATTTCAGAGCTGCTGAAGATGCTTGCTGACCCTGATCTTACTGTCCGACTGAAAGCTGATGCTTTTGAATCTCAACTCTCTCCTGATGACGTGGCCGAGCACTCGTCGGAACTACTCAGAATGGTACACGAGTCAGATGGCATAATTCTCAGTGCAGTTCGTCGTGTTTTGTGCAAGCTCCCTCCTGAAGAATTAGCCAAGTGTTCCTCAGATTTGCTGAAGATGCTGGAAGACTCGGATTCATGGGTTCGAGATCGCGCTTGTGAAGCTTTGGGCAAGCTCCCTCCTGAACAATTGGCCAAGTGTTCCTCAGATTTGCTGAAGATGCTAGAAGACTCATTTGCTTCTGTTAGACGATCAGCTACTGATTCTTTGGGCAAGCTCCCTCCTCGTGAATTGGCCAAGTGTTCCTCAGATTTGCTGAAGACGCTGGAAGACTCATTTGCTTCTGTTAGACGATCAGCTATTGATTCTTTGGGCAAGCTCCCTCCTGATGAATTGGCTAAGGGTTCTTCAGCTCTGCTGAAGATGCTGGAAGACTCAGATGAAATGGTTCGAGTCAACGCTTTGGAAGCTTTGGGCAAGATGTCTCCTGATGAATTGGCCAAGTGTTCCTCAGGCTTGCTGAAGACTCTGAAAGACTCGTATGCATTCGTTCGAAAGCGTGCTTGTGAAGCTTTGGGTAATCTTCCTGCTGAAGAATTGGCCAAGTGTTCCTCAGATCTGCTGAAGATGCTGGAAGACTCATTTGCTTCTGTTAGACGATCGGCTGCTGATTCTTTGGGGAAGCTCCCCCCCAATGAATTGGCTGCGGCTAAGTGTTCCTCAGTTCTGCTTAAGATGCTGGAAGACTCAGATGAACTGGTTCGAGCAACAGCTTTGGAAGCTTTGGGGAAGCTCCCTCCTGGTGAGTTGGCCAAGTGTGTGTCAGGTCTGCTGAATATGCTGGAAGACTCATTTGCTTCCGTTAGACAATCAGCTACTGATTCTTTGGGGAAGCTCCCTCCTGATGAATTGGCCAAGTGTTCCTCAGATTTGCTCAAGATGCGACAAGACTCCTTTGCTTCTGTTAGACGATCGGCAACTTATTCTTTGGGCAGGCTCCCGCCTGATGAATTGGCGAAGTGTTCTTCAGATTTGCTAAAGATGCTCGAAGACTCAGATGAAATGGTTCGATTAAAGGCTTTGGAAGCTTTGGGCAAGCTCCCGCCTGACGAGTTGGCTAAGTGTTTGGCAAGTCTTCTGAAGATGCTGGAAGACTCAGATGCAATGACACGACAAAACGCATTGGAAGCTTTGGGCAAGCTCCGTCCTGAAGAATTGGCAAAGTGTTCCTCAAATCTGCTCAAGATGCTGAAAGACCCGGATTCATGTGTTCGGGATCTTGATCTCGTTGTTGAAGCTTTGGGAAAGCTCCCTCCTGAAGCGTTGGCAAATTGTTCCTCAGATCTGTTGAAGATGCTGGAACACTCACATGAAATGGTTCGAATAAACGCTTTGGAAGCTTTGGGCAAGCTTCCTCCTGATGAATTGGCCAAGTGTTCCTCAGATTTGGTGAAGACGCTGAAAGACTCGTACGCATTCGTTCGAAAGTGTGCCTGTGAAGCTGTGGGAAAGCTTCCTCCCGATGCATTGGCAAAGTGTTCCTTAGATTTGCTCAAGATGCTAGAAGACTCATTTGCTGCTGTCAGACAATCTGCTGTTGATTCTTTGGGCAGGCTCTCTCCTGATGAATTGGCCAAGTGTTCTTCAGCTCTGCTGAAGATGCTGGAAGACGCAGATGAAATGGTGCAAAAAAGCGCTTTGGATGCTTTGGGCAAGCTCCCTCCTGAAGAACTGGCTAAGCGTTCCTCAGATCTGCTGAACTCGCTGAAAGACTCGGATTCATCGGTTCGAGATCGCGCTTGCGAAGCTTTGGGCAAGCTTCCTCCTGAGGAATTGGCAAAGAATACCTCAACTGTGCTGAATTTGCTGGAAAGTTCCGATGAAGTAGTTCGAAAAAATGCGTGTGAGTCGCTGGGCCATTTCTCTCCTGGTGACGTGGCCAAGCATTCGTCAGAGCTGCAGAAGATGCTTGGGGACTCTGACAGTTCCGTTCGTGTGGCAGTGTGTGAAACATTGGGCGAGCTCTCTCCTGAGGACTTGGCCGACGCAACAGACCTGCCACGGATGCTCGAAATGCTGGATGACACAGATGCTTCGGCTCAACAGGCAGTTTCGGAGCTTCAAAACATGCAAGCAGACTCAGCCAAGTTGATGAGTGTGAAAGCAAAGGTAGACAATGACTGTGGTGTTTTGGTGCTTGCATCAGAGCAAAGCCCACAGGTGGAAATTGCCAAACATTTGGACAAAGACATTCCGAACACACGTCGTGTCCAGCTGCCGAAGGCCCAGACACGCTCTAGCAATATCTTCAAAGTGACGCAAGATGTGTTGCTGAACAAGCGTACAGTATCTACATTGTTTGTTCCTATTGAAGCTGGTGCAAACGTAGCATGGCGCTCGGTCACTGACAGTCCATCGAGCAGTGACGACTGGGAAGAAATACCAGCAACTTTTTCGGAGCGCTATATGGAAGTGCAACTTAAACCGAGCACCGTGCAAGCGCAAAAGGACTTTTGCTATATGTTTGCCGGTGTCCGCATAGATGATGCCCTACAGCGTGCCGTACAGCCTACCGCGCAATGTTGTAGATGGATTGGCTCCTTGTCGGCTCCTTCGGGACAAAGAACTACTTCTGAGTCTGATGAAATCATGGATCGACCAGGGCAAGTGAAGATGGAGACAGGTGCTGGAAGTGACAATCGACGGCATTTGTTGCTCTCAGCCAACTTCAAAAGTGAAGAGTTCATGAAATCCTTGAACACTATCAAAGCTTCTCTTGAGAGCAGACGTGTGCCAACGCACATGGTTGTGGCTGGTGTAGGCCCTGGGCAAATCCTTGCCATGCCGCCAACGATGAAGGGGCTTCACTATGCCAAAATGATTGTGGCCTTCTGCACCGAGGACTATGGAGCGAAAACCACGGCTCGTTATGGGACTATTCAAGAGTTGAGATACGCACGCAAATACAAACTACCAATCATCTCTGTGCAGTATGGCGAGAAATATCCGCCACAGCCTCGCAATTCCAAGGAAGGGTGCATTCTGATTGATCATGTCTTCTCACTGAGTACCATTTGTCACATCGACGGAAGGAAAAAGCCTGCTGAAAACATCGCCGATGAACTTGAGATGGCGTGGCGTTCTCACAGTGGTGGCGTGGCTGACACTGAATGATGATTTCAACGTATATTTCAACGACAATGTAACGAAGCCAAACCAAAGGCTTCAAGGCGTGCTTCACACGTGGAATAGAGCGAAATGATGTGGATGGGCTTGCTCACAGGAGAGTCAAACAACCTTGAAAGCTATCAGCAGCGATTTGTCGAGCATAGTATATCTTTCTCTTGTGTGAGAAGTGGTGGTTTTCTCAGGTTGGCTTGACGCGAACTCAATGCTACATGGTTTCAAAGCCATGCCAAAGCGCACCAGCTTGCGCATGGACGCGGGCGAAGGCGCCAAAGCTTCTTGGCACAACTGTGCAGTGACGAAGCAATGTGGAGGGCACGAACTCGACAATCGACCGAAAGGGGTTGGACATGACAGAGAAGATACGAACCGAGTGGGACGGTCAAACAGCACTCCCAATCACAATCGTTTCACCACAGATATGCGGGTTCAGTGTGTGACATTAGTGACTTCCAATAGTGTGACAGTGGAGATGAGTGGAGCTTCAACAGTCCCACCTTGCAGCCCTACTTCGTATGTTTAGAGGAATAATTCGCTGCCCACAGACCCCTCTTTTCTGCAGCATTGAATCCCACGACCCTGCCCTGGTGCTCAGCGGGGCAAGCGAATACAAGATGGATCCCCACATTGAGCTGACCCCAATTCCCGGAAAAACAGCGTGCATGTGGTTGGAAACCCTATCTTTTGTCCAACCGCAAGGTCGGGTTTGTTTGGTGCATATCCCCACATGTTCGACTCAATCAGATCCTACCTGTACAAGAACTCCTCACAGTTTGTTGATTTCCAACGAGAGCTTGCGCTCTCTCCAGTGGCAGTGTGGTTTTAGTGGGATATATAGTCGTTCTATGAGTTTGCCTCTTTGCTGCTTTAAGGAATCTCTAAAAAGTTCATTGTGATTCCCCACTCCAAAGAAGTATAGCCGTGCGGTCTCACGCTTCTAAACACCGGGGGCCAACCACATTTGGCATTTTGAGGAGAGTGTGGCGGAGCGTTTCTACAGTGCGTGGCAACGAAGGGCGTGGCCGTGGACATCAGCCGCTGGGGCAAAAACCGCAGATCTCGCAAATGTTCAAAGAATTATATAAGCATACCTTGAGACCTTTGGTAATTTGTGAACTCTTGAGTCTCGTTTTTTTTGGGAGTGCGAGGTTGAGTTGTTTGGTTTCATGGAGTTCATTTTGTGTGGTAGGTTGTTACTTATTACTTTAGATCAATCAAGGCAGAGGCTTACTCTAATCTATAAATCTAGATCTAGTAGATTTTTGGGCGCTGCTGCTTACCTCAGTGAAGGATAAGAGCTGCAGACAGGGCAAGGGGAGAAGTGCAGAAGGGCCGATTATCATATTGGCAAGGTATATATCGCTGCAAAATGCCAGAACAAGCATTCTGATTGTAAGGACCCTTTTTCTGCAGTAGTTTATGGAAGTTTCATGGAAGTTTCACTCGAGTGGCTCAGAAGAAGGGCGCCACATGAAATCACAAGGCATGGCTTCCTCACTTTGACAAGCTGTGACAAGCCCTTGCAATGATTCGGGGGTCCACGACAACTTACCCTTGTTAAGCCCTGGGAGCGAAGAGTGATTTATGGCACAGCAGCCAAACACCTGGTGCTTATGTCTCAAGAAAGCAAATCTACTTGCGGTCGACCTGGATTCTGCTATCCCCATTACTCATATAACCTCATTTATATCCCCCTATGATTTCATACTATGTTTTTTGTTCGATGATGTTTTTCAGAAGGTGTTTAGGTTTCTCTCTATGTGTTTGGGCCCTGGGCGATATTATTTTTGATTTGAGCAGTCCTGGCGTGAAAGCGGAACATCAAATTATCAGCATGTTATATCCCCCCACCTTCCTTCAATATCGAGGTGCTGAATCGATCAATGTTGTAAGATAACATAAGCTAACAGTGAGACATATATAATATACTTTGATATCACTCTTGTGGTCTTCAAATTGAATTAGAGAGAGAGACAGAGAGAGAGAGAGAGAGCAATGAACAGGTCCAACAGATTCGTTCTACTCATGTTCTATTTGGCTTGTACTTCAACTTTGAACAAAGGATATGTTGTTATTCTTCTCTCTCTCTCTCTCTCGGGTCTAGGGAAATTGGACTGCACCACAGACGTCTACTCGTTTGCCATGTCGGACTAATTACACAGATTGGCAGATTTGCGCCAGGTCAGGCAGCAGATTGGCCTCATGGGAGCCATGAGCTCTTGCAGCAATGATAAACAAGACGCTGCCGTCATGTGAAAAATGAAATCTGGAGTGCACGGCATGTGTAGATATTGGAAGACCTGGAGTTGGACCATAGCCAACGAGAGATGTTTCAGCTTAGAACAAAGAACTCAGTTTCAGACTTAATTGAAGCATTCAGTGCATCAGGTTGTCCTTTCTGGGACCTCTGAACTCAGATGAATGAATGGCACTTGTATGTGCGCCGCTGTGATCTCTGCTTCGTTCGGGTGAACCGATCCACAGAAGTCAGAATTTTACAAAGGCCGCACCTGAATGGCGAAGTTGTTCAATACTGACTCAATACTGTACTCAAAGTAAGCAGCTGGTTGCTTTTGGCCCCGATCAGCAGCAGCCTGGCGCACAACACGTTCAAAACTGGAACACATTCAAGAGTACATGGTTAGGAGATGTTAGGAGGCAACATCTTTTCATCAACACCATGCACCTCCTTGGCTACGTGGAAGCGTTTCCTGTTGATGAGGGACAAGTGTCTTTCCACCGCCAGAACACTCGTCAACGGCATTCCCCTATCATTCCCCTAAAACATGTCCAGCCAAACTCAGTGTATGCCTCACACGTGGCATTGGCATCTCGAATCCAGACGTCTCCAGCTTGCAGCCATCGACCACCTATGGCGGACGGGACGACGCAATCCGCGCTGTTGGAAGCGGACAGGGAGCCATGGAATCTCTTCGCACGCAAGGAGATCCGGTTGCTTTCAGTACATGCCTGTCTCAACACGGGAACCTTTGGAGAGATGGAGTCACCGGGACTGCCAGTACTTTGGAAGATTTGTTGAGAGATCTTTTGTGAACCTTCCAATGAAGAGCACATTGCGTGTTTTTATTGGCGTCTATTCTGGGATTCAGGTGGGGTCGTGGACGACCACTTTTGGGAACACAACTTCTTTCTCCAACGCTCATGGTTGGCAACGCCAACACTGAACAGCTCAGTCATGGGCATCACCGGATATGGTATCACCCTTCAAGGTCAATATGAGTCATAGTATCAATATTGTCCATGAGACATATTGACAATGTATAGATATGAGTGTGTCTCATGCTGACATTCTCCGAAACGGTCACTTTTTTTGCCTGCACTCAAGTATTGGACTAAGACTGCGGGGCACCAGCTTGTGACATTTCCTGCAACCAGCTCACGTTGGTCAGAATAGCACAGCACCTGTTTACAAACCGTTGTGGGAAAACTCTCTTTACTTACCATGTGTGGCTTTGGATTCATGCGACAATCCCAAAATGCAACATCAATGGTGTTCTTCCATTGTACTGAAGCCCAGGTTGGAAGAACTGTCTTTTCACCTGCGCTACGCTGCATTGTGATGCATTGTCCAAACAGGAAAGGCCAGTGATCTACTTTAGTAGAAACCAGCACCTCCAGCTGCTGCTGTAGAGGTTTCGCTGGCTTGATACACTCCCAGAAAGCTTGCATGGGGGTAACATGGAGCGTCCCTTCCTGGACGGTCAACTCTATGAACTTGGAACGGGGAACTCAAGTCCATCCTGAGAAAGAAGAAGCAAAACCACTTGAAGGCGTTTGTATGTGAACCGACCAAAAGCAGGAAACCATGGCACGCCTAATGTTCTGCAGGAGCTGAAGGTGATGTGGGGGTTGGCCTGGCCAATCGCGATGAGTATGCCTCTTCGATGGATTAACGCGCATGTGTGGGCAGAGCAACTTGTTAAGTATGGCATTGTTGATCAGCCCCGGGGGGGTTGTTTTGTGTCATAATTGACCGGGATTTTCGATCATGTGCTTGTTCACTTGCGGAGTGGAGTCTTTCTGTCTCGTGGAGGCATGAATGAATCGGGCTTGAACTGGTATGATTTGGAATCAACATATCAACATATGTAATTAACTAATTATATATATATATTATATTAATTATATACTACAGATGCCCTTGTCCACAGAGATGTGGAGTTGTTCTGGGTGGACAGGACTTGACCACTTCACAGCAACTTCACTCAGGTTTTGCCGCTTTGCGATGATGTCGTGTGACTCCGCTGCTGTTGGCCACTTACAGACGCGCCCATTGATGGCTGAAGAGCCGACCCGGACCATGTGGCTTTCATCTGCAAGTCTGGTGTACTTGGAAGGTAAGGATATGGTCCAAAGTGTTCCCACTTCATAAAGACTCTCTAAATCATCGTGTAAAGAGGTCCTTGGGTTTATAATAGCTTGTAAGTGACATGTGATGACTGAACTGTGTAACGGCTTCCTCAAGTTCTTTGTTGCACCCCTTCGAGGCACCCACCCGCTGATGAATTGTTTGTCGGGGGTCGAACCACTGCAGTCATGCAATGGCTGACAGCCATTGACCATTTGTTGAGTTTGTTGCTTGATGGTGTTATCTGCAGAGTGATCATCGGCCGTCATCGGTCCGTCTTACTTTGGTAGTGCGCGAGTGATGTCTCCTCCTTTCCTAAGATGCTTCATGGTTGTTCCAGTCTTGTATACTATGAGTTTTGACCCTGGCCCAACTTGCTTGTTGAGTAGGTGGATTGACGGACCCAATCCCAATCCCGCCAATCGCCGCGACACAGTACCTTCCGTTGGGCGGGCAATTCTTGGCTGGTCGGCCGGATGTTACATGGCACTTGCATTGGATAGTATTGTGTTTGTATGTGTGTTGATGTCCCCTTTTTTGTGGCCCAAAAGCTGATCCAGCAACGATTCAGGCTGGTGATGTGCTGTTCTACACCATGGCTGTGTGCTTCCTTCCAAATCCATCCAAATCACCCCAAAGCATCGTCCACACCGTGACACGAAGAAGGGAAGTACAGTACATCTTCAAGAGTTGGGACTCCGGGAAGAAGGGAGCTTCACTGCAGAGGACCGGTGGACCAGTGGCATTTGCGTCCATCCTCAGGTATTCTATGCCATCCCTTTTGTCGCCTCTGGAGATGCCGATGGCCTTCCCCCAAGCAGTCACGGTCGTTGGAGCCGATAGTGCCGCGGGAGAGACCGTGTACCCCAGCCGACAATACTTGGCCGCCTCCACCTTGTCAGAAGCTTCCACTTCAAAGTCTATAGACAAAAAACAAAACTGCCAGGGTGTGCTCAAGAATTCACTGGTAAGACACGGTAAGACAGTCCAATTACAGCATCTAACAACAGAGGTTCACGGTTGACTCCAGAATGTTGATCCTTCTTTTTGTGCCAGGTGGGGTTTCAGGATACGTGTTTGGCCGAGACTTTGCCGCTTACTTGGTCCCTTTCCAAGATTGAAGAACAACCATCGCTAAATGAGAGGAGCTTGGTGTCATATACAATATGCTTGAATAAGATGATATGTTTATGTTCATCAAACATCTCGAGGAGCTCTGTTGTTTATTTAGCACTAATTTAGGATTCTGACACGGGTGACAAGCTTCTTGGAGAAGCCCTTCCAGTCTTTGCGGCTGTTTGCTGCCGAGGTCATGAAGTCAATGGCAACAATGGGGCACTGCAAGTCATAGTACATGGGTGTACAAGCGTTTTTGTTTTTCTGCCAACTACTTTTGTTTCTCCATCCTCGCCACTTCCAACATCAATAGTTCCTCATAGTTATCCGAGCTCCGGGAACATCAATAAACATGCTCATATAGAGTCAGTATGACAGTATGATGCTTGCTTCTTGGTTTCTGGTCAAGAAAAGGGATAGTAGTAGTAGTAGTAGTAGTAGTAGTAGTAGTAGTAGTAGTAGTA